GCGCTCTGCCGCCGCAGCTAGAGTCAGCCGCAGCCGCCTGCTGCAGCTCTCCGCCCTGCAGACTGATTCCGAGAGCCGTTTTCGTCGCTCTCTCTCCCGCACACATGGGGCGTACCCTGTAGGTGCGAGAGAGACAGAGAGCGACGAAAACGACTCTCGGAATCAGTCTGCCGTCCGTCCGCCCGTCCGTCCGTCCGTCCGCCGCAAAGCTTTAACTCCTCGCTGAGCCTGCCTGGCCTGCCCGGCCTGAGCGCGCTGTGCTGATTGGCTGATTGGTAAACGCCGCGAAGCGCGAACCATCGCGCGCGAACGGTCCGAGTGTGACTCATGACGTAAGGCCGCCAGCACCGCCAGCACGCCGTTTTTAGGCTGTCTTTGCGCTTTCCGAGAACAGCAGGCAACACAGTACAAAACCGAGTGCAAATGAAGACATCGCCGTCGTGGCAGCCTGGCTCAGGCTGGCTGGCACGGAAAGCTTTCTTCGAGTCCGTCCGAAGCGGCCTTGACTAGAGACTAGAGAAGAGGCAAACGCCAACCAAATACTTCCACTCGTGCAAACACTGTGGCGCACGCAGACTCACACAAACCACGCACACCTTAATAAACGCTAATAATAACCTGCTTTAAAACGGTTGAGACTGGGTGGGGCCGGCGTCGGTACCCGCAAAGGGCGAAGACCCGCGATCCGGTCCCTCCCCCCACCGGCTCGGCATATCTTTTCTCTGGAAGGTCCAGTCACGTTATAAAACAATCATCTTGCTTCGAGGACCGCCAGCGTCCCAATAAATTAGCACCAAATTAGCTTAAATTTTGTTGTTTGTGTTTAGCAGCACAGGAGAATCTCCAGGTGGAAATAGCAGAGAAAGGCTCCTACGACCTACTGTACGGCCCAAGCAGCGGATGGACAAACAAGTAGAAGAAAACAAAAACTTGATGAGACTGCTGCCCGGTCGCCAAACTAGTTCCACGCGTCCATATGGGTAATGGGTGTCCCCGGGGCCGTGGACAACAGCCGCCATTGTTGTCGTAGGTCAGGAGCAGCGCCAACCTTCGCCGACCCTAACCTACTCCGACCCTAACCTGCTCCGACCCTAACCTAACCTTCGCCCACCCTAACCTTACCTACGGCGACCCTAACCTAACCTACGCCGACCCTAACCTAATCTACGCCGACCCTAACCTAACCTTCGACGACCCTAACCTACCATACGACGACCCTAACCTAACCTAGGCCGACCCTTACCCGGCCTAAGCCGACCCTACGCGACCCTACCTCCTGACGAGGGCACTTCCGGAGAACATGTTGGAGGCGTTTCCGGTTGGCGGGCAGGCCGAGGGCAGGCCGAGGGACTCTGTCGTCCGCCGAGAGGACCGTCGTTAATCCGTAATCCGTTACTGGGAGTCGATCCGCTGCCGTTGGTGCCGCGCGATGCCGGCCGTTACATTTCGACTGGCGAGGGCCGCTGCGGCTTCGCTGCGCCTACACTGAGATTTGATGATATCTGCCGCCGATCGGGCACGCGCTGCGCCGCGCTGTGTATGCACATGTGGCACCGCGCCGCCGCACCAAACGGGAAAGAAAAAAAAAGAAACAGAAGAGGAGTAAGTGACGATTGCAGTCGATTGGGGCATCAGCTGCCGAATGAGCAAATATGGGGTGGGGCCGCCGCAACAGACTGACAGACGCACACGGCGGATATTTGAATCGACGGGATAGCTCGTCGCTCGGCTCGACAGGCGTGTGGTCGTTGTGACCACAAAACGAAAATGGAAAATCTGAAAAATGAATGGGCATGACGAGGACTTGAACCCCTGGAACGGATGGGAGGGAATGGACTAAGGGATAAGGGGCCGTAGTTGTTGTTGGTGTTGTTGTTGTTGCCGCTGTCGGGGATAAGGTGACAAATGGCCAACCGTCCGAGACACAACAAAAGCAACCAAAGCGTCGCCGCCCCGCCCAGACACCGTCTATCTCCCCACGTCACGCCCGGGTCACGTGACCATCGTGGCAACACTGTAAACCGACCGAGACCGAGAAGACTCCCTCGGTATTCTATCCTTTTCCTGGGCGCGGGTTATGGCCGCAGAGTCCGGGAGGTCCGGCCCGCACGGCCCCGCCTTAGGCCTCGGCACGTCCGTTGACATGTCGCAGGCAAAAGAAGAGGCCGTCTCTCTCTTTCCCCCCAGGACGCCCCATGAGTGCGTCAGAAACAGAGCGATGAAACGATCCTCTGGAATCGCTCGGCAGGTAAACGATCCCATGACCTCTGACTGCGTGCCGCGGCGCGCCGCGTGGTGCTGCGTCTGCCAGCCTGACACGCTGGCTGCCTGCTTCTAGGAGCCGGGCAGGGCAGCTGGGCGGCCCATGTCGATCAGTCCACCGCACGCATTACTTGTCGTCTCTGCAAGATTCAAACTACGCGAGTACTCTGCAGTACGATGATGCGCCACGCCGCCGCGCCGGGCGGCCAGCCTGGGCGTCCTGGGCCCCGGGGCGGCGCCAGGCGGCGCGAGGGCGAGACGAGAGGCTTCTTTGGCCCTGACCCTGGGCGAGCCTGGGGCGAGCATGAAGCGGGTACTCGGGTATTAGCGCCGGGCAGAACAGGGCTTTGCGTCGCCCTGTCTCGCTCGCACTCATGGGGCGCAGGGCGGCAGGGCACGGACAACGGCGTGACCCAGCCACTTGCTCCCGCCTGCGACAACCCATGCAGAACCGCCATCGAGACTCGTCTCGGCAAGTACCTCATCAGCTAGAGGTGTAAACCAGTCAGGGGCTTACCATGCAGGCGCTAGATTCTGCCGGAAGTAACTCCACGAAAAACCGTGCCCACCGCAGCCTGCAGGACAGGTGTCTTTGGTCTGAACGAGGCCTGGCTGGAAGCCACGATACAGTACCGCGGGGTAAAACTTTTAAAAAGATACAGTAGGTGTCAGGAAGTGAGACTGGACGGCGGTACGGCGGCAGGGAGGAGCCGCCCAACTACAGTGCTGTCCGCAGCGCGGCCAAGACGCTGGCCAAGACGCCACGCGAAACGGAGCCAGGTCGTGATGCACACAATAGTACTTGGCGATCGAAACGCCGCCTCGAAACACCGAAACGCGACCCGGACGCCTCCTCGGCGCACCTCCCCACTGTTGCGCAACCCAACCTGCCAATAAGGGCGAGCCGTGACATTCACAGTGGAGTGACTCCGCGCAGCGCTCTCGTCGCTCTGTCTCTCTCGCACCCTCACGGAACGCCCCGCGAGCGCAAGGGCCCACTGCACAGTGGGCCAGAAGACCGGTGGAGGCGGCTGAAATTCTCGACGCGTTGTGGGACTCGAACCGAACGTGTGACCAAACCAATGGATTGCTCTCCGAGCGACGAATAGAGTGGTGGGGTAACACGCTCGGTTCGACTCCCATTTAGCGACTCTGGAGCTCAAAACGCGTCTAGAACTTCGGCCGCCTCCACCGGTCTTCTGGCCCACCGTGCACTGTCAGTGCCCCGTGTGTCCGCGGCCAATCCGCGCCCATTCGCCGTCCTTCACTGCTCCTTCACGGCCCGGCACACTGCTTCCAAAGACTGGCTGCGTCTCCCTCGCACTCACGGAGCGTGCCGCATCGAAACACAGGCGCGGCGTGGCGCGGTCCGAGGTGCCGCCTGAGGTGCGCGGCGCCGCGTCCACCGCGGCCACGCCTTTGGCTGCCTGCGGCTCGCTTCCGACGCCGGGCCGTCGCTCTGTCTCTCTCGCACCCCTGCAGAACGCCCCATGAGTGCGAGAGAGACGGGACGCTGCACGCGGCTGCACGCCTCGGTGGGGAACTCCGACGCCACACGCGACAAGGCGCGCAATTCACGGCTGCAGTGCGACGGCGCGACGGCGTGCGCGGCGCAGAGCTTCCTGTCTCTCTCGCACCCCCTGCCCACCCTCCGAGCGCGAGAGAGACAGACAGCCTCGGGCACAGCGTCCACGTAGTACGTAGCACTGTGTCACCGCGTCCAGCAAGCGTCTCCCAGCGCAGCCATCCTGGCTCGGCACAGCTCGGCACAGCCCACGGCTTGGGCCGCGCAGATTTTGAAGCAGGCGTGCCAAAATGGAACTGAGCGGCGAAATTTCCTCGTCTTTCAAAGTTAAAGAGACAAGGGGCAGGCATCACAGCAGGACGCACCGCGCTTTGCTTTTCGCAGATTCAAATTAATTTGGATTGGGGGCGCGGGCTCCTCGTCTCCTAGTCGAGGTTGATTCACACGCATCCTGTTGAGCGGCTCGTCGACGCACGCCGAAGCTGGCGAAGCAGGCCGTCAAGAAGCACGCAACGCGGCGGGGGCGGTGTCCGCGGCGCGGCCCTGGCCGCAGATACGCCGTTGTGGCGGCGACGCGACGCGACGACGCCATCCTGGCCCGGACCGCGGCCTGGACCGCGGCCTGGACCGCGGCCTGGCCGGCCGGACAGCGCCGGTTCTTGTTATTGTCACCAAGGACACAGTTGTCACACGTTGAGTTGGTGACGAGACAAGACACTCACGGCGCGGAACTGCGGAGGTTACGCTGGGCCGCCGCTGACCCAGTCAACGCAGAGAACCCCGTCTGCCCGGTCAACCAGTCAACCCCGGTCTCTCTCTTTCTCTCTCTCGCACGCGCTGCGTGGGCGGGGGCGCGGGGGACGCGCCGCTGACTACTACCCCCCCCCCTTCCCCCCTTTGCCAGCGTCGTCGCCGTGTTGACGTCGTCGCGGGGGACGCCAAGTGTTGATGCCTCGTTGGACGCCTCAGAGGGTCAGTAGGAGGCTGCGAAAAAATTGGTTGGAAGAAACCTTGTTTCCTCAAGTCTGGAACACCCGCTCGGCAGTACTTCGTGTGTGCACTGTACTCGCTCAACTGAGTGCCCCCTCCCCCGGCTTTTCCTTTCACTCTCAGCCAACCACAACAATATATAAATGCAACTGCAGGCCTTGCAAAAAACGGCAAAACATGGTACACACTAGCTCGCTGCTGGCTGCTCGAGTGAGCCACTTACCCTGCGTGTGTTCCGTCTCCGCTAGACTCGCAGCTGCAGGCCGGCGGTGCGTGGGCGTTCCCTTGGGCGTTCCCGTGGGCGTTACCGTGGGCGTTCCCTTGGGCGTTCCCCAGGGCGTTCCCGTGGGCGTTCCCCAGGGCGTTCCCGTGGGCGTTCCCGTGGGCGTTCCCGAGGGCGTTCCCCTGGACGCTCCCCTGCAGGTGGCCCTGGAGGTTGCCCTGGTGGGCGCCTTGGTGGTGGGGCCCTTGGGGCCCATGGGCGTGCTGCCGCGCGGCGGACGTCATCTCGCACTGCTCGTGGTGCTTGCCCGCACTGCACGCACGGCCCCCCGAGCACGCGGACGCGGCGGGCACGGCACTGGGAACGTCATCGGCGTCCTTTTCGGCACGCATTCGCCGCACAGAGTCCTGTCCATCCTGGCCGAGCGGGCCAGTACAGGGTGAGTCGGCCACGGCCCTCGACGCGGCCCTCGGCGAGGCCAAGCGCGGCCCGAGCCACCCCGTCGGACCGCCCTGGCCGCCCTGGCCCTGGTCGGCCGTCAGCGCCGTCGGCAGCCCAGCCGCGCCGTCCCCTTGCGGCGGTACTTCAGTCCCTCTGCACGTGCCCGGCAAGCCCTCGTCGGCCCGCGGGCATCGGGGCTGCGGACCTGCGGCCTGCGGTGGTTGTCGAGCTCGCGGCACGCGGTCGGTGCTGCAGCGTGATTGGGGCGCGCGCACTCGCGGCACGACGGCGTGGTCGTTACGGCGTGGTGGTGACGAGCGAGTCACACGCCCGTCCGCGCCACTACACTGGTGCACGCGCCGCGGCGCTGGGCAGTGGGCAGGCTCAGCCTCAGGCTGGGCAGGCTGGGCTGCAGCGCGAGGGCCAGGACGAGGGCCAGCACGAGTCCGCGGGGAGCAGCGCCGAGTCCAAGTCCGACGAGTCCAGCGCGACGTCCACGGCACGGCCACTGTGTCTGGGACACGCTGTGTCTCGGACGGTCTCGGACACGCCGCACGGCCCAACGCCAAACGGCCCCACGGCGCACCGGGGCACCGGGGCAGGGGAGGAGGGGAGGGGGAGGGGTAGACGATTGGGAGAACGGATTGCGGGGGAGGGGCGGGGTGGTAATCATGGAGACAGAGGGTCTGCAAACAGGGTAATGGGGGATGGCGGGGACGAGCGCGGGGATGGCGAAAAGGGATAATGCGAGGCAACGCGTCGCGGTGTGGTCGCGGTGTCCGCGTGGGTGAAAAAGTCCATTTCTAGCGGAGAAATGTCTGCACCGCCGCTACACTGCCGTCAGTCGCCCTGACGGCACCAGTTGCAACCTGCGACTCAAGTTACGGGTGGCCTTCCCGACAGTGTGACTTGGGGTCGTGGACGGAGAACGAGGAGCTCCAATTTTCCAACTGGATGTACAGTATTTCTACCAATACATTCAAAAATGGAAAGGAAATAGGAAATTTGAGGGAAATGATGTCACCTTATTCTTTACGAGACACACAGCATGACAGCGTTGACATTCCTCTTAGCAGTGTGTAGTATAAAAGACAAAGGGTGTGGGATGAAGACAAATGAAAGATAAAGGGCGAAGGCCAGAGACTTGAGTTGATGCGGCCGATAGACTGCTCGGGCTCAGTCGCGCGTTAAGGCCGTAACCTGCAGGGGCGTGCGTGCGTTCAGGACGGTCCAGGACCGGTCAGGGCCGGCGTCCGGGGCCGGCGTCCAGGGCCAGACCAAGTCCTCGACAGGGGCAACGGGGCGCAGTCTCGGGCGCAGTGGCACACGGCGCGGCCAATTGGAACGTTGTCTCTCCCAGAGCGGCGGTGGCAGCAGGCTGGCTCCGAACAATGCTTTCGTCGCTCTGTCTCTCTCGCACTCATGGGGCGCCCCGCAAGGGTGCGAGAGAGACAGCGCGACAAGCAGTGCCAGGCTGCAGGGCAGGACAGGCCGAGGGCAAGGCAGGAACCACTGGGGCAGGTTCGCGTGCACTTGTGTTGCTTGTTCCTCTCCCCGCTCGACAACGCTGCTCCGAAACCAAGACGGCTGCTCGCGCACCCTAGCAAGGACATGCCAAGGAAGGTCCAATACCGGCGCACTGTAGAGGGAGTGCGATAAGCCGGACTGGATTGGAAGCAGTGGTCGGCCAAAGTCAGCCCAAATAAGTTTCCAGACATTTGGCCGTCCTGGCGCGAGGCCGGCCCCGCGTCGTGCATGCTTTCGCGCTTCGCGTCCATGAATCCCTCCGCCCGATCCCGTCCGCCCGTCCGCCCGTCCGCCCCGTCGTCCGGGCGAAGGCGCGAAGGCGCGAAGGCGCGAAGGCGGGATTAAGATTTATCACTGTGTCATGTGGTGTCGCTGTGATAGTCCTTCCCTTCGGGCGCGGCGCGGGGTCTGGCGCGGGGTGCGGCGGCGTGGGGGGTTGTCGCGGTCGCGGTCTTGGTCGCCGCCGCGCCGCGCCTCGCGTCCCTCGTCTTCGTCCTCGGCCCGGTAAGGCCCCGCCAGGGCCCCGCAGGGCCCCCTCCGCCCAGCGATCCGAAGCCTTAAGGCTAAGCCAGGGCTAAGCTCTGCTAAGCAGCCAGGATGTGGAAGTGACGCCGTGTTTTCTCGTGACCAAATTGCACCTCCCCGCCCCGCCCCGCTCCGCCGCCTCCGTTCCAGCAGTTTGGCGCGCCGCGTCGCGCCGCCGCCACGCCGCGGCAAAAGACACAAGACACTCCGTGACGGTCAATTCGTGAAAACTGGTCTCGTTTCGTCGTTTGACGGGCGGCATTAGCGGGATTAGCATAGGATGCGCGCTGCCGTGGCTGCCGGGCCTACACTGCTCTGTCTCTCTCGCGCTCGCAGGGCGTGCCAGGCGTGCCGCTGGGGGTGCGAGAGAGCGAGAGGGCTGTCTGCGCACGGCGTGGACTTCACCTAGCTCTGTCTGCTTGCCTGCATCCCCCAGGAGGTGGCGATGGCGGGGCCGCTGAGGTGTGCTCGCCACCGTGCCGTGTTCTGGTGACGCCCGACTCCCAGCCCCCCCTCCCCCTCCCCCGGCACGGCAGCATCCATGGGGCCGCCGCGTTTGATTGGATAAACTGCGACACCATTGTGGCTATTATCAAGCCGGCCATCAAGTGGACCCTGACCGAAATAGTGACACCTCTCCTTCACACCTCCAGGCACTCCAGGCGGGCCCGCAGGTCCGCCATCCGGGCTGGAGCGTCTCCAGTGTGCTGGAGGGAGTGCCGCCCTTCCAGTGCCCACACCGGGAAGCCCCACGCCAGGAAGGCCGCGGCGGGGAAGGCCCAACGATTCGCGCGGGAAAATTGAATCGGCTCTCACCGGGAAGTTTGTCTTGACGCGGACCGCTAGGCATCGCCGCGCCGGAGTCATCTCAGTCGCGGTCTTTGAGGGAGCGCGGGCAGCGCCCCTGTCAACGGATGGCTAGGCAACCCAGCTGACATGGTGCCTTCTTGACTTGACTTCCTCCACTCAAATATGTAAGTGCGAGAAGAAGGCTAGAATAATGTGATGGAGATGACCAGAGAAACAAACCAGAATTTGCTGATTAATTTTGTTTATTTTTTAAATTTTTGAATGCAACAAGAAGTATGAAGAAAATAAGCTCAGTAACGGATCCACAAATAACCATGCACGTGACACATCATCCAGTTTGAATTACAATTCAATTCCTTGAGTTGTCTTTAACTTAATCTGACTAGATGAGACAATCATAAAAATAGTAGGTTTACTTCAAAAGCTACCTTAAAAACTCTAACAAAACATACCTCTGAATTTTTAAGTATACATAATACTGAAAATAATTTATTATAACTGACTTTTAACATCTTTGCATAACACTGGCACTTATGGTGCATGAATTATAAGGGATAAGCTTGGAGTTGGTACATTTACTTGATTTAGTAGGACATTTTGCTGAACTAGAAGACCTCCAATGAGCGACTTACATGCATCTTTTTCTGGCAGACATCTTAACTAGGTATTCAAAAGCTTAATTAAATGTGGTACAATTAACTCTGAATAGCAATTCATCACAGTTTATACAGAAATATTAAATAGAAATGTTTAGCTTCCAATCCCAAACGGTTTTCTGAGCTAATGACAAAGAACAGAAACAGAAAGTTAGAAATTAAGTGCATACAAATTGCAGGAGACCATCTCACATATAGACTGTCCTATACCACTTTTTAAATGTCTCTCCATTGGCAAGGAAAAATTTGACAAAGAATAAATCTACAGTGGTAAATACAGAGTGATCTATTGACGCTATTTTCACCTCATCTTCTAGAGTATGCCTTTAATCCTGAACGATTGTAATCAATCAATTTTGAGGGATTTATCAAGCTGTTTATAATAAGGCAATCACTGAGACACAAGAGTAGGGTGCGTCCACAGGTGAGTTCAGAGATATGGAAATGAGAAGGCTCAGCATGAGACTCTAGTGTGAACCAAGTACAAAATGTGGTTTGATTGTAGAAAGCATTTACTATGCACGCTTGAATTTCAAATCAATAAAACTGTTTCTACAATAACCTTCCTTTTTGAAAGAAGGTTTTTTTTTGTTTCTTATTAGTTTTTGAAAAAGGCAACTTACACAAATCTTATTAAGGAGCTATTCTAAAACCAACACTTCTTTCCAATAACTTACTACATTCAAAGACGAACATACACCCTTTAATTAACAAAAGATAAGAGGGAGGCATAAGAAAACAAAATTGATTGAAAAGATCTATCTCACTCAGAACAAGAGCACTACAAACATCCACTAGTTCCTTTAGAAACAAATTTTAATCAAAACAAAAAAACAATAATCATCACACTTCATGTAGTGGCAACATTTATTCATTCATCATTTAATATATTTGCCAGTACATCTATTATGCACTAAAAAGCACAACGATCCTGTTCTATGTAGGGTCAAGTTACACAATTTGTTGTTTTTCACAAAACTCTTTGTCAATTAACAAAGTCCGATTAAAAAAAAAAAAAAAAAATGGGTTGGCAACAGTACAACTCTCAGGACAAGGCCGCATACTTCAAATAATTAACTGTTTTTTTGTTGTTGTTTTAAACAGCGATAAAACACACGTGGTGTTGCTCACTCTTTGTTTTAAATTGACATAGCAGCTCTACATTCATTCAGTAATTGCATAGCTTGTAAAATATTTTATACCTTCCAAACAATGGTTTGGAATCTTATAATCAGAAGGAATTATTTCCTTTAACCCTGAAGTTCACTATACTTTTACATTAGCAAGCAATGAACACAACACCATCACATATTGCTTTTTCAAACAAGATGCTTAGGAGCTGAGCTGACAAACAAATTGCATGTGTGAAGAGGTCTTTTAGCAAAATAGAACCTGGCTTACTTGAATTAACAAAAAGAGACTGTAGTTAGCTAAAAGCACCCTTAAAACATAGCAGGGCTTCTTAAAAGTTTTAACAGTATACAAAGTGTACTCCACCTTTTCAATCTTCATTGATGACAAAAATCACAGACAAATAATCATGAAAATATACCCTGTATATTTCACAGCACTCTAATGTGAAAAACATATTTCAACTCATTTTTCATAAATATTGCTGTTTGCATATTGCATAAGTTACCAATAACTTTCAACCAACTAGCCAGACAAATTCACACATACCATACGCACTTTCTACATGAAGGGGAAAAACAAAAAAGACAAGGTAATTACTTAACGGGGGATAATGTTTGTCAGCTGAGCTCATATTCATCACAGAACAGGTCAGCTAGTCACAATTAAATTTTATAGCACATGGAGTAATCAAAATGGTTTACAAAATTAAGTGATTTCTTTGGCTACATATATATATAACACACGAAATAGATAAAAATTCTTATGATTCAACAGATGATATTATCACTCACTATATTATAAGAAGAGCTAAAATTTAAATAAGGCACATAGCTATTTGTTTGGTGTCATTCTGAAACATCAATTGAACAGCTATCCCGAGAACCAACAACATTGATCCAACAATATGCCACACAAGGCAACAGAAGAAACAAATCTGAAATCTAACAGATAGAGTAATTACTGGTAGATAGGTAAACATTGTAGGTTCTACAGATCTAGGACATCACAATCAATCGAAGTTTAGATAAAATGAACACCTCTGGCACACTCAAAACATGACACAAAGATTTTGAGTAACTTGAAGATATCAACATTTGTAAAATCTCTTTTTTATAACGAACTTAGAATTACAACTAATCAAAAAGCTTAATTCTATTTCTCAGTGCAGCGCCCACAAATATCTAACCAAGACAACCTACAGATGAATTTCAACAATATAACTTGCAATAACAAAAAGCGCTGTTTGGAGGTTCACAAATAAATGCCAAATATATGATTTAAGCTCCAAGCCTGGCCTTCCAAACAGCAATGACCAAAAGTCACTATGATGAAACTGCACTTTTGCACTAGGCTCGGCCGCACTCAGCCAAGAACAAGAAGGTCCAAATGACCACCTCTGGAGAACAGGTCAGAACTGATTCAATGAAAGTGGGACACATTATTTGACACAAAGCACAATGGATTTCAATGCAAAACTGCAAATATTTTCTCCTCTTTCAGCCGGTGGCTATGATGAAAAGACTAATAAACAAGGGTTGCAGTTGCTTTCGTCACAAACTCCTGCAGTTATTTTTTTTGTTAATGAAAGCCCTCAACCATGTCAGTAGAGTAACAGCTTCACATTAAAAAGCAAATTGAAATGCAGATAGAAAAAAATAAAATATATCCAGAAAAGGATTTTAAAAAGAGCAAGCACGGAGCTTGTAAAAAATAGCAGATGTGCTGGTTGTGTCGATCTGCTCCATATGTTATTAAAGCTATATTACATGCACTATAACAAGTAAACGAAGTCGCCAGCCTATACACTTAACATTAACTAAGACACAAAACAAGGCAACAAATCAGCTTGTGATTTCCAATTCAATATAGCTCAGATAAAATATTCCTCCTTTGCCCCTGAAGATGCACAAAATTGATTTGCTGCGTGAGAGCACTTGTTACCTTCGTAGTTTCACCTCCAAGCCATGCATTAGGTAAATGCAGGCCTGGAAAGCATTTATCAGAGCACCGAGCACTGTAACACATACAGTAAAAGCAGCATGTTAAGTACAATGCAAAGCAATACAATATTTACAACATATAATGGAAGTCTATGAAGACGATGGAGTGGAAATATTTGGGCTGAAACTCACAGCATTCTTTTTGTGGGATGAGGATGTGGGGGAACCTGCTGGATTAGGAGAGCAGGTCTCAACACTGCGAACAGGGGTTCCATGATTGCATTCAGATGGATTGCAAGAGCATGGTGGTGATGCCTGAGAACTTTTCAATGGGGCCTGTTGTGTCTGCTCCAAAAGTTGTTTATTAACTCTTTCTTCTTCTGCAACTCCATCCAACTCTTGTTTGTGCAGCAAACGAGCCAACTCCTCACTATTAAGTTAAAACAAACACAAAAGAAAAATAAGAGTCGTTATATGATTATTGAACATATGTTTACCCCAAACCAGACAGTAAAGTAGAGCATCAATATCAGAAAAGCGTCTGTTGATCCAAAACATCTGATCAGAAGAATCAGGGCACGAGTATAGTAAAAGAGTTCAACAAATAGTCTAATATTAAATTCATGCACTTAAAAAAGTGGATTGACTAAAATTTAATGTTTTAAGAAAATTTGCCATCATTTAATTTAATATGAACATCATACAATATTTGCCCAACTCTACTATGTTGAATGCCACAGTGTGAAAATAAATTGAAAATCAGAAAGTAAACATGCTTTTAAAGAAATTAACTGGCAAGACTCACTCTGAAAGTTCAGACAGGTCCTCATCGGGATGAGACTTTTTAACATCATCCCATGATTCATCAAGACGCTGCATATCTTCTTGCAATGCCAAAGCCACCATATAGCTAGACAAGGAAAGTTGAAGCCAATGCCACCATTACATTCAACTCCACAAACCCAACACTAACAATAAAATAATTTTACAGACAAGACAAGAAATTTGCAGTGTTCAAAAACAAAAAAATGCATTCCGAAACATGCAATCCCAAGGTCACATTTAATGGGCACAGGAAAAATTAAAAGAAGGAAAAGGCAAGGAGCTGGGAGGAAACTGGAGAGGACAGTTGCGAAGGGACAGGAGGTGGAAGCATTCACTCAATCTGAACCCAAATAGGACGTGTACTTGATCACACTTGCACTGCAGCATTTTAAAGCATTACTTACTCTTGATCAATCTGAGACATAGTTGTTGCTGCAGGGGAGAAATCTGATGTTGTCTTTGGTGGGACATTTTTGAAGTCACTATCCACAAACATGGAGTCGCCTTCAATATTGCAAAACATTTCCCAAACCACATTATACTCATGGAGGAAACCTTGGTCTGTCACTAGTAGAAAAAGTTCATTTTGCACCTGAAATACATAAATAAAAAAAATAACGTCTCAGACAAAAATAAATTATTAGCAAAAAAATTGAGTTAGAATAAAGGAGAGAAAAGAGAGAAGGCAAGTTCTCATGATGCATTTACTTGTTGAGTGCTCTGCTGTCTACTTGATGTTGGAACCTAAAATCAAGGAGAGAATAACAAATGATGTACTCCTCTTTTGGGAATTCAATATGTTTTAGTAACAATTGAGAGGGCATACCCTTCGTTTGAATATTGTACTGAAATGGTTGTTCCTGAAGATAACAGCCAGCTCATTATCAGCCATAACAGAGTTCAGTTCACATAATCCATGATATGTCAACTGGGAGGCGCTGCTTTCAAGAAATTGTTCTGCCAATAAAGCTGAGGGGCAAAAGAGAGAACGAAGAGAATAACAACTGAAGCATAAGTCGGCCAGAGTTAGCAATTCAAGTCAGAATATACATACCTCTGGTAACTTTAGTAGAATCATCAGCCATCTTATCCTGAATGATCATCTCCACTAACTGATTATATCCCATATGTCCTAGAGCTGTTACCGTCTCAGTTGCTTGAGGATCGACAACCCAGCCATGGTACAGGGAAATGTCGAGTAAATCAAACACAGTGCATGCCTCAGTAAACTCAAAATGAGTAACCCTACATTTGTAAAGAGAGAAAAATGGTTGTTATTGACATGATAGGCTTGACCCAGAGTAGCAATATTTTCAAGGAATGGTCACAGGGACACAAAGTCACACTGAACATACCCCGTAAATTTAACATTGACATCAAGGCCAGAATGCAGCTGAGGGAGCAGAGACATTGCATCATGCATGTTTTGTTCAAAGTTCCGCATTATCTCTTCAGAATTATCCTTAAAAAAATAATAAAAGGAAATTTAATGAAAGACTCAAGTTAGTCAAAAGCTAAAAATAAATCGATGTCTATGTTGAATATGTCACCTCTGGTCTACTTTCAACAATGTTGTTTGCAACATGAGTCAGAAGTTCCTCCGACGTGATACTTGATGCATTTGCCGAGAGCTTCATTTTACCCCGAAGGAGGAGGATATTTGCAATAGCTATCAACGGGCAAGGTCCATTCTGGTTCTGTGTTATGATGGGAGTTTTGTGTTCATGCCACATAATCCACTTCAACTGGTATTCTTCAGGACCTTTACTTGATGAGACAGGGCTGCTTTCTGATGAAGACTTCTTGCTGGTCTTAATGTTGGCTTCAGAACTGGCCACAGGCTCAATTGATAGTGAGTTCATTTTCTGAGCTGTAGTTTCTAGAACACCATCTTCTTGAGAAGTGCAAATTTGTACTTTTAATTCTGTACTATCTGGTGAAGCAGGCGAAATACTTTTGGCTGTATGAGCGCCGCTGGATTGAGTGTCTCCTTCATTTATGGCAGAGGCAATGGCAGTTCTTCCCATTTCAGCAGGTGAGGAATTTGAGGATGATGACTCAGACTGAAGCTACAAGTAAGAAATAAGAGATGGAGTACAATTAACGGTGATTTTGTTCTTTTCATTAGAGTAGAAAAAATACTTACCACAGATGGTTGACAATTCCCAACTTCATCTGTGAAGCCTTTGGCAGGATGAATGTCCAGGGATGACTCATCCATGTTGGCGTTGGCTTGTCCTGCAACTAATGCAGGCAGATTATTCACTCACTTCCCTTTGTATTATTATCAAACCAAATCAAACATTCATTGAGAAAATCTCCTCCAAACTTCTGTTTATTAGTACACCAATAACAACACGTTGAAGAGAGAGAACAAGGTAGAATATTGGTTGAAATTTATTGAAAAATATTATTTCCTCAGCATAATTCAACTCTTGACATGTACAGCCCTTTCCGACGAAATACGACGCAAAATCACAAAAGTGGTCGGAAAGTTGGGTTAGGTCTTAGAACGTCAGTTTAGAAACTTCCATGTTTCATCAATTCGATCGTACGTTATGGTTCAAATTCTGACCATTCGAAGAAAGAAAGTTAAGGAGTATGACTGAGGACATCCGAAACAAGCCAAGTCACAGGTAAGGGTAGGGTTTTACAAGGTTCAAAATTGAGAGGCACAGAAAACAAAGGGAGGCGCAGGGTCGCAGCGACTGCGCGTCCGAATCGAAAGCATAGGGGAGGGCCAAAGTACTTACCGATTAAATTACAATCATGTCAATTCCGCGTGGCAATGACAATGAAGCGTTCGCGACAGACTGAGGGGAGGAGGTACTCGGTTCGTTGATGGAAACCAACCAAAACACAAGCACGTCACTGGGACAGATTTATTGGCCTTCCACGGACATTTTCCTCCAGCTACTGTTGTCGCCTCCGACTGATTTCAAACATTTACTGGGTACCCTTCACTTTGCTGGGCATGACAATGATGAACAACGCGATTATCTTCACGACAAATAAACTCAATACTATGAACTTGAACGTCTCTCTATCACGCCCATTCACATTCCCTCCCTCTTAAATTTGGCTAGCCTCATCCCTCGAGGCGGGAAGTTTGAATTCCTGGCATCAGTTGAGGAGCGTGGACAGTTTTGTCCATGAGGACAGATTGTGAATGAGTGGATGGGGGCCAAAATTAAGTCGTGCTCTAATGGCGTATAAGCGAGTTCTGTTTAACCATTAGAAACGCCTCGTTTTCGTTTAATCAACTTTTTAAACACGGCATTATTTCTCCCATGGGATATTTTGACAAGGCGCTGGATAGGGGTGCCAACTAAAAGTGAAGACGAATTTTGTTTTAATTTTATTTATTTCAGATGATTTGGGGTCGTTATATGATATTCAATGACATTTTTTAGTTTGTCCCATTCAAAATAACCCGTTCAACACAGATGTCGATCTTCGATTCAAAGGCTTCCTCTCTTAGAGAATTGTCGTTGTTGTGTTAACATTGTTGACATCGCGACGCCATATTGGATATTGGCATTGTGAATCTTCTTTTGTATGACTGTGTGCGTCAGGGGACCAAATTCACTCAATTCGTGTTACATTCGCGGTGAGATTTATCTGAATCACCGTCAATGTTGTGCTCAGTGAAAGCTGCTTTACAGATTTTGTATTTAAAAACCTGAACGTGTGTAGGAGCCAACCGTAATCACGAATCGGCTTCAGCCTGTGCTGGTTCTGACTCCGTGTAGGGGCGGTATTAAGAAACTTCTACCCTTATTTCTAACCAGAGGAAGGTCGATATTGTGAGTATCGTGCTTTGACACTTTTAAGCATTTTCGTCTTGTCTGTATAATTGTTTTCGACACGCAAGGATCTTGGTATTTGTGTACCGTCAGCGTAGTGCTGCCTTCCACAGCGCGTTCTGTTTTTGATGACAACGTCTTTATGTTTTCTTGAAGTTTTAGTCCATTTCTCAATGAGAGAAACAAAAATCAAATGCGTGTGTGTGAGAAATCTGGTCTTAATTCGCCATTCTTGAAACATCAGTTGTGGTGTGAGCAATTTCGTCTTTGTCAGCAGATCTCCAATTGGCACTGACAACAGTTTTTAACATCCCCAGTTTTGTTGAGAATTCTAAGCATCTTTTATGTGGTGTAATTTGGAACCGTCAGCTAGTGTGTGATTGATAAAATGGTCAAGTGCAACTCCTTTGCCAAATGATTATTGCAATCTTGAAATCCAGTCAAAGACAGATTTCTTCATTGTTTCCTATGTTTTGAACTTCTGAATGTGGTAGGCATTTTGGTACTTTTGTCTCAGTCAGTGACAGTCAATTCTTTGCTCAGCAGGACTCCAATTTGTGCATTGAAGCACCAGCATGGAGGACCTATGATTGGTTGCAATGCAATGTGTCCCTTGTGTAGAGATTGTCGAAAAGCCTGACGTGAAAAGGCACCTGATTAGAGGGGAAGCACTTTTGAGAAGTATGGAGAATAATGCTGAACAATTGAAGAAAATAGAGAAAAGACAGCATGAGCTTGAAGTTGCCATACACAAATTGTCCTCGAACATTGAGCAGCTGAAGAAGATCGTGCGAGAAGCTAACTTGTAACACCAGACCAAAATTGTCTGTAGTGTTGTAGGATCATCTACTGACATAACTACTAGTCTCACTCCTGTACAAAGATAAATTCTGGAAGTACAAGAAGTTTTATAAAGTTTGGTTTGAAATGAAACCTGTATTGGTTTTGATCAAAATTTGCTTTGTTTGGTCAGTGACAATTTAAATTCTACAAGGTGATGTGTAAGTAATGTCGTTTATGCATTTGTGGCATGCAAATTAGATTTGGTCTAGACAAACACTTACAAATTTCCTCACTTTGTACATATATTAAGATATTACATTAAGGATATGAATTCTCACCACTGACAAATATGGGTAGTTGCTTCTTTCATGGCCAATTAAAATCCAATTTAGTCATCTTGCTGGTCTGAAGTAGTTAAATTGTCTTCAGTGTACTTATAAGCAAACCTTGTTTATATTTATATTGTTCCATTTCTTTATTCTGCTAATTTGGAAATATTCTTGGTACTTTCCTTCAACAATCCACAATTGAACTGAGTTAGTGAGAGATTCGTCAACAAACTCATCTTGCAGGGCCGTAGAATTCTACAAAAAAGCACTAAAATCATCAGCTTATGATTGGGGTTAATCTGTAAGGTAGTGCCTGTTATGCTTAACATTTTTGAGTCTTCTGACCATTCTTGGCTGTGGATTTGCTTGGCATATTTCCCTTGCACAGATGCTTATATTAATGGATTGAATACATTCCATTCAAATTGTATGTTACAGTTACTCACTGTTACTGGCGGCATTTGAATCTATGGTTGTGACTGCGTTAGGCCCCAGCCAACCAGTTTTTGTTTCTACTTTTCTGATATACCATAAGTTTGATGAATTTGATGCATTTTCAGATGGATTTCCTATCAATTTTAATTTATACTATGAGATAGGGGATTGCTAATCCCTTCATCCTTCGAGTTGGCTTGTTGTCTGACTTCAATACTTGGTTTTTCCCAGGTATGTTGAATTGGTTTGTTATTTTTAGGTGTAAAATATATTATGGTGTTTAACTTCTGGCTCTTAAATGCTATTGTCTGATCTTCCTCTTTTAGATTGTATACTCATAAATACAAAAATGTGGTCACCTCAACAGCAGCAAAACATGTCTCAGCAACAGCGCACACTTGGCATGACGTCAGCCATCACCATGGCTGGACCCAAGCAGCTCGATCACGACAGGACTGATGAACTTATTGAAACTCTTGAGCTTTACAATGTTTCAGTGACTGAGCAAGAACTAAATCATAGGTCTGTCATTGTTTCAACATTGTTGCCTGTGATTCCTGGGCCTGCCTTGATTTACTTAAAGTTGCCAATGTTGTTTATTTTTTTATTTTCAGGATGGAAATATTAAGCAAGCTAAATAACTTAGTGAAAGAATGGATTAAAGAAACAAGTATTAACCGCAACATGCCTCCCAATGTTGCTGAACAAGTAGGAGGGAAAATCTATACCTTTGGATCGTACCGTTTAGGTGTACATCATAAAGGTGCTGATATTGACGCACTCTGTGTAGCTCCAAGACATGTAGACCGGTCTGATTATTTCACTTCATTCTTCGATAAACTTAAAGAACAAAAGGAGGTCACTGATCTTCGGGTGAGCTTTGGTTTGAATCAAATTCCTTGTATGTGGCCATATTAGAATAAGAATCTCAACCCATTCTATTTTTCAGGCTGTTCCAGAGGCGTTTGTGCCAGTCATAAAGATGAACTTTGATGGAATAGAAATTGATATGTTGTTTGCTAGACTAGCTCTTAGGGAAATTCCTGACTCCATGGTAATTTTATTACATTTTTTCAGAATTTTGCTAGGTTAAGCATCACTATTTATTGGCAGCAGTGGGCCTTGCAATTCTGATTGATGATTTAAATTGTGTTTGTTCTTTTATTTCAGGATCTTCAAGAGGATATTCTCCTTAAAAACCTCGATCCAAAATGTGTCAGAAGCCTAAATGGATGTAGAGTAACTGATGAAATCCTTCGTCTTGTTCCTAATGTAGAAAATTTCAGATTAGCTTTAAGAGCAATTAAGCTTTGGGCCAAAAGTGAGCTAATATTTCTTTTAATAACTCCTATAATAATCATTTGTAGATTACTGATCTTACTGTCACGTTTGTTCTTTTCTGTTTTCTCTCAGAACATGGTATCTACAGTAATGCACTTGGATACCTTGGAGGTGTGTCATGGGCTATGCTTGTGGCACGGACATGTCAGTTATATCCTAATGCTGTAGCTGCTACTTTAGTTCACAAATTCTTTTTGGTATTTTCTAAATGGAAATGGCCTCAGCCAGTATTGCTGAAACAGTTGGATGTTGTTAACTTGGGCTTCACAGTATGGGATCCTCGTGTAAGTTTCTTTCTGCATCCACTTTTTTAAATTGATGTTCCAATTGTAAATTGTACTACATGTTTCTCTGGTTTCCAGGTAAACATAGCAGATAGATATCACCTCATGCCTATAATCACTCCAGCATATCCTCAACAAAATTCCACTTTCAACGTTTCAATGTCCACCCGGACTATTATGGAAGATGAGTTTAAAAACGGACTTGCTATCACAGATGATATCATGGTTGGTCGTGCTACATGGGACAAGTTATTTGAACCTCCAAATTTTTTTACCAAATATAAGTGAGTGTTGCTCTTAAGAGTGGGCATTATGTTTCTTTGCTGTTTGCTTCCTAGAATGACTTTGTTTGTGTAAATTTCAGGCATTACATAGTGCTTTTAGCAAGTGCTGACACACCTGAAGACCAGCTTGAGTGGAGTGGTTTAGTAGAATCCAAAATTCGACACTTAATTGGAAATTTGGAGCGCAATCAACATATCAAGTTGGCTCATGTCAATCCTGAGTGCTTTCCTCACTATGAAAGTAATGAACAATCATCAACCGCTCAACCAGCAACACCAAGTCCTTCAGACACTAGCAGCACTGAAGTAACCGAAAAAACAGCTGTCTCAGACAGTAATCCTGTGGCTGAAACCCCTCCGGCCCCCAATGTGACAAGTCCAGGAGTAACAACTCCAACACCTACTCCTCCACCAAGCACACCCAACACATCATCTAAACCAGGGAAAGAAGGACTAGGTTCTATGTGGTTTATTGGACTTGTTTTTGAGAAGACTGAGCACTTGAACGTGGATCTCACTTATGACATTCAGTCTTTTACTGAAACAGGTAATTTGGATGTTGTATTATGGTTCTTTTCTTTTAATTTCAAAAGATTTGGTTCGACATGTTTCGTCTTTATGCTCTCCTTTTTGTAGTCCATCGACAAGCCATGCAAATTAAAATGATGAAAGATGGTATGAAAATTGAAGCCCGCTATGTGAAAAGGTATGGAATCATTGTCATAACTGTGGTTGATTATTACCATATCATTCATCCGTTTTCATTGAATTTCATTCTTTGTAGGAAACAACTGCAAAGCTATGTGCCCCCTAATCTTCTTAAAAGAGAACGCAAGGTATCTCAAACATTACATTCTTCTTTAAGTGTCCCATGTTATGGTTTAAGGCTTAACACCTAATAATCTGTATATATAATTTCAGACAAGTACATCAAACTCAAATCCTTCACAAACTCCAAGAAATGGAACTGCTACACCTATGATGTCCCCAACTAGTGAATCCAACAAATCCAGTACTGCCAATAATGGTGCTTCAAATAAGAAGCGAATTTCTGAAAATTCGTGTGATGGCTATTTTAAAAAGGCTAAGATGGGTGATGAAACCAGTGGGCAGGTAAACATCATCTTAATTCTATTGAGTTTCTCCTTTTCCTTCTGTGAAGTTTGGACATGCATCGTGCTTTCAGGGAGATGAATCACCTAATCAGTCTATAGTACAAGGCGGAGAAGATTCAAACTCAACTTCATATTCCTTGGACGAATCTTCAAATACCTATGTAAACATTGGTGAAACACACAAGAGTACAGAAACAGCAGGCTCTCAGATAGTTGGAGCCAGCAATAGTGCAGCACTGACAAAAGAGGTATGCCATGTTATAGCTATAAATACTGAACGACTTTGTCTTAACCAGTGTGTGTAAATTGTTTCTGTCAAGCTTTTGTTTTCCTCCACTTTTATTATCATCGATCCGATTTCCAAGCAACATAAAAGACTTCTAGCAACTTCATGTTGTGAAGATGACCATTACTTAGGTTCCCTCTGACTATTCAAATTCAAAGCGTATCAAATTTTTGTGAAGGAGGTAGAGTGTGCCTCAGTTTTGTTGAACATTGATCTCTACGGAAGTGCTTTAGCTGATTTCATCATAGTGTTAGTGTAATAATTGACTGGTGCCGTGTTTGTGAAGAGAAGAGACAGGCAAAGTAATTGTCATAGAACTTCCTGAGTTCTGATTTGTTATTCACTTCTGAACATTTAAATTTAAATCCTTTAATTTAAAACACCTTATTTTTTTAGGTGTACATTGTAAGAAATCGTGTCGCATGTCCTCTTCTTTATTTTTATTTGAACTTTGTTAGATGTTGAGACTAAGATAACAATTTATGAGTTCCTTGAGTGAACATGGAGTACTTTGATACAAAATTGCTCCCTCACCGTTAGTTCTATCTACAAAGGCTAATTTCTGGTGACTTAACTTTGCGGTATGATTAATGTCCGTCCTATCTAACTCTTTTGCCATTTTTATTTATCTTGTCCTATCTCTCTTCCCAGTTATTCTTATTATTTAAGCTGACCATTCATGATCTTCATTTTCTTTATAAGTCTATTATTGTTTGTACTGTTGGGTTTTGTTTCTTGTGGGGAATGAAGTTTTGGTCCGATCAAGAGTTAACTTTTAATCATTCTCGTGAAAATCAATGGCAAGTGGCATGGTATTGCTTCAGATTATCACTGTTTTTTTTTTTTAAGTTTGAGTGAGGAGGTCTGATTCCCATTATCATGTTCCACTTCTTTCTGCTAATGATCATATTATAGCCTTTAACTTAACCACTTACACTAAATAAAGAGTGGAATGCTTTGATCTCTTGTTGGCTGTTTTTTGATGAAGCTTTAAACACAACCTAGCATCTAATTTTTAGACTGTAACATGCTAATACATTTGGTAACTGATTCTCTGTTGGCATAACTTTTGTATCTTGTATTTTTAATTTTAATACCATTGAAGTTAAAGTGTGAAAATTGGACTTAATGGAGTGCACTTGGCATTCTGAAATCTTGTTGGTGCTATTTTTCATTTCTTCTCCCTCATGGTGATGGTGAAAGACTTAGTAAGCTAACTGTGCTCTTTTAACTGACTGTTTTTTCTTTTGACAATGTATTCTAAGAAATGCACGTAAATTGTTTATTGTGCACCGTTGTTAATGATCTTAACTTGGGTCATATCTTTTCTCCCAGAATTTGTCCGAACTTTTGTTGTTTTATGTTCAATATCTATTTAATTCAGGCCATTGACATTCCACCTCCTGTCAACTGTCAAATTGACCTTCAACTAAATACTTTGCAGCATGATGTATTTATTAATTCTAAAGACTCAGCTCCAGTGTGTTCTGTGGCTTTCGCTTCAAAACACAGAATGTCACATTGATTGCTATCTCCTTTAACGCACTTTCAATGTAGTAAATCTGGCAGTTAACAGGAGCTTATAGCTAATGCTGGGTTTTAATTAAATTTTCACTATTTCTAAATCTTTCTTTTCTTCAAATTTATATGTTTGTATTTTTGCTTTTTCTTTCTTATTGTTTATGATTCCAAAGTTCTGTTGTGTAATCTCTCTACCTTTCTTGTTTTTCGTGATATAAACTTACATTTGTGACAAATATTTGTTGAAGCGCTGTATGAAGATTTCAAGCAGTGATATGTTTCACAATAAATTATCGTACCTGTAACCTGAATTGGTGTGGTTATTGCTTTTTGTGGCTGCATTACACTTGGTATCTCAACTGACTATGGTTGAGTTGATTTATTATCTTCCCAATAACTGCTATATAACAACGAGCTTGTGAATATTGCACCAAATAATATTATCAAAACAGCTATTTGTTGTTCAAAACATCACCTGATCATCATCAGATTATGTCGCAGGGCAGCATTGAGAAATCACTTGAACATTTCTGCTGTCAAAAGTCTTGGGATTCTTTTGAGTAGCTGGAGAACTGTAGCTTTTACTTCAAAACTGCTGTTGCATTTGTTTTTATAGTATTGTAATCTGATTACATTTAAACCATCAGCCTAGTCAAGTGATGCATCTGAATCAAGAATGTTTATGTCAATTTTGAAAGCATTGAACCTGTTTTGTGATTGGTCAGCCATTCAGTCAGTATGTAGGTTTTATGTGAAAGATGTGCAGATGTAATTTATTTTCTTCTCTGTCAGCAGGACACATCAAGTGTTTTACATGAAGGATTCATCTGTACATGACCAATCAAGAAGGGTGATGTTCACCCTGTTGAGTTCAAGAAACCACAGTAAGTATGGATTGCAATCAGCCATCAAAATTGTCTTATCTCTGGTCATTACCGACCTCCTCACCATCTTCCATGTCCTTTCCAGACCCAGACTTACAAAAGCACATGAATCTGAGAAAGGAATGTCTATTGGCCCTCCTAAAGAGCCTGTGATTCCTCATTGAGGACCTGTACATTTGACTTAATTGTTCACCATTCAAGCAAATGCTTGTCACAAGTGAAAATGTAAATCTATCATATTATTATGAGTTGGTAATTTATACAAAGCCAACAATTAGTCAGGTGATCTTGCACTCATCATATTATCATCTGTAGCCTGTACAAAGACTATTTTGAGATGAGTTAGGAAATTATTTTGTTAAGTTATTAAGGTTCAAGAAGAAATGTGAAGTTGTACACTTCATAAATGTAAATAATTTGAATGTGGAAAGGAGCTAACCTGCCATGTATTGGCGTGCTCTGATGTGCTGAAAAGGCATTATTTCCATTATTCTTTGACGTAGTGACTAAAAATTCAACAATGGATTTATGTCATGAGAATTTATGTAATATTAAAGATTATGAATGTAACCTCTTCATCAAAGTCTCTTTCTACTTGATCCTTACTCGTTCAAAAAAGAAAATGGCAAAAAAAGATAAAAAGGGGGAGGGGTTTTGAGTTCTTTGTATATTTGGTGTAGTATTGAGCTTATATCTGATGGTTCTGTATAGTTGCTCAATGGTGATATGAGTGACATAATGCCTCCTTTTATAGTAGTCAAGGGTGGTATCTATAGGTGAAGTGTTAATTTTGTTGTTGTACATGTTTGAGTGCTTGTTTTTTTTTTTTTTTTTTTTTTTTTAATGACTACCTTTCAAGCTTCTTGTGAAACTTTGTGGCAGAAATAACAATGCACTCAAAAGTACGGAATTTCAGAATTTTGATAGAAATATTGGTGTGTACTTTGGATTGTAACCTGTTTTGATTTTAATGAAAAGTTAAGGGCACATGTGTGTGGATCAATGCATTTTTTGAATGATCTATTTCATCAACACAAATAATGCAAGATTAAGGTTTTTTTTCCAGCCACAGTCTCTCTTAAAATTGACTTTGTGCGCTATATCTTTTGGATTTGATACCTCTGGAGTATGAGACATTTTACTCCTCTTGGCTAGACTTAGTGAGTATCTTTCATTGACCTTATTGCAAAATGCCATTCATAAAAAAAAAAAATTTTAAAGATTGCCACTGGCTTTTGTAACTTAGATCATTTGGAGTAGGTACAAAAGTGGCATGAAGTGTTTTTCTTATTGTTAGACACAGTTAAAATTAGTTACTTTGGATTATTTACCCACTTTTTTGATAAATCTTTTTTGTTAATTATTCACAGAAATCATGTCACTCTGTGAAAACAACCACCAATTTATTTTGTTTTGTGTGATCAATGACGCTGAATTGAAGTAATTCCTTGTAAATTATTTGGTGTGCTGGTGAAGAGAGTGTTAAGTGTCACTGTATCATCTCATAGCGCCCCATCAGTTTTAATTTTATTTATTATTTTTTTTCTTTTTTTAATATTGCAATTAAGAACTGTCCTTGTCCTATCCCGTTGGCTTGTTTTGACTGAGTTCTCCTGACCTGAGTTGTCTGGAAAGGTGACAGCTGTGCAATTTGATAATGATATGTACTGTACTTGCCAAAAGACCATGCCTTGTTCCATTTTTCTTTGAAGGTGTTGATTCTTTGATTTCTGTTCACTCCCAAGCTTATCAACTGAACACTACAGAAGATGCTGAAGCACAGAACGGTTGAAAGGGGGAAAGATGGTGCTTTAAACTATTGCCTAATTAATTTCTCTCTCAATTGTTTTTAACTTTTCTGCATTGGTCTGGATGGACCTTCTGTTCAATCCTATGTCAGTTTGTTCATAGGGCAATTTTTTTGACTGCTTGTGAATTGGATGTATGTACATAATTGGGTAGTGATTAAAATCTCATGTGTCCTTCCACATACTTAACTCTGTTTGCTGCAGCACTTGTGAGCTATTTTTGTGGTTGTGATTTTTAGATGTTCAGCAATCTTTTTCTCTGTACAGTACTGTATGATGCATGTTAGTATGTTTCCAGATTTCAGTCTCAATTGTCACATGCTGAACAATCTAGATCACAATCTTCTTTTTCTTCCAGTCTCCAGTGTGCTCTAAAGAGCTACATATAGTATTATTGGTCTTGCAGGTATCCTTTCCTCATCTCATTCCTTGCTCTTCATACTGTTACAGTTAGCCTTTGTGGTTAAAAAACAATTATGACCTGTCTTACATTGTTCATACATGTTCCTTTTGTTTGACTGCTGTGGTCTTTAGGAGAATTCACAGAAGTATTTAATCCTGTTTATACATAAAAGCAAGCTGGGAAAGATTTTGAGATGCAGCTTATTGTTTAATGTTTTCTCAAAAGTCATTTTCATGTTTTCTAATTTTCAGGTATTTTCATTGTGTTAGTTTTAAACATGGCTGGTTTCTTGTTTTTTCTTTCCTTTTTCTCTTTTATTCTTCTTTCCACTCCTTGTCCATTGTACCTTGACATGTCGACTTTTGCAAGTGTTCTGTTGGCACCTTGTGCTTTGGATCATATTAAGAAAAGCTTGGAGTCACAAGTCCTAATTATGAAAGAGATTTACCATGTGTTTAAATAGGCTTGAAGTGGTCTTCTGGACTGTCATATATTTGTCATTCTTTCGTTTTCCTTTCCATTTCTTTCTCTTCCCTGTGATAAGGGTCAGGGTTGAGAATTCAAAATATGTCATGGCTCATACTGAAAGCTAGCAGCTCTCTTATGAGGGTCCTTAACTAGCTTCAGTCAACTAAATTTCAGCCAAATCTTCCATAACGTTTTCATCATATAATCCAGATGTTAACTTTTTCCACGGAGTTCGTCAGGATGCTTCTCTTTTTGCCTCCAGGTTCTGTGAGACTACAGTTAATGTTATAATAGGACTTCTTGTACTATTCTTTCAGAGAATCCTTTAATTGTCTTGTAACATGTCTAAAAGGGGAAAAATAAAATAAAAAGAACACTGAATCATCGTTTTTGTATTTATTACTACCTCCCCCTTACAATAAGAAAGATCAAACTAAATAATCTTGATTTCATGTCACACACTTGAATTGTGAATTATATCATCAACTGAAATAAAATTGTGAAGTAAGTCTGAGCCAAAACGAATAAATGAATGGACAAGAAAACTCTAGACCAAGTCCAAGGTTTTCTTGCAATTACTTCATGAATGTAGGGAGTTATTTTTCCCATAAAAAAGTCAGCTTGACAATAAGAATCTGATATAAATAAGACATTACCCAATGTGGTGCATACATCCATTAGGTCTCGTCACACATCATTAATACATTCTGTAATTATTTTATATTGTATTTGAGTTTTGGAGAGTACCAGTTAACAAGATTTACTTAACTATTATCACAAAATCAAATTAGACACTTAATTCATACAAAAAGTCACAATTGTACTATAATTGTGAGGACTTAAACTTAATGATCAAACTCTGTACCTGAAAGATTTTTGCGATAGCAGGCTAAGCTACAGAGAGGGATTCCAGTTCTAGAGCAGGCATACTTCTTTTTCTCAGAGCAGCCATCTACACCGCAATACGTAATATCAGGTTTCTCTTGTCTGTAAATTAAAATTATAGTTAAAATAGAAAATTTGATCAAATTTTATGAACTCACAACATCCACTAAAAGTCAACATGGTAATCTTACTTGACAACTGGTTGCAGAGGGAATTCAAATCCTAAAGGTATGTTGATTGTTGAAATATTTGCAGTAATGTGGTAAGAAATACGAGGAACTTGTTTTTTACTTTTCCCTTTCTGACCTGCCTTGCCTGCTTTAGACTCTTGCTTCTTTAATAAGCGTTCCATTGTTTTTTTCTAAAAAATCAAAATTAAAACAGCTGGCTTAAAAACAGGAGTACAAAACTAGTGCTAAAATTAAAGATTTTGAATAGAAAGGTTCTTACTTTGTCCTTTTCCCTCTTTTCATCTGCTTGTTGCTTACGACGTTGTGATTTCAAGGCTGCCTTCTGAGCCATTTCTTCAGTCATAACTTTCTCTTTGTAACCTGATGGTAAAGCAAATAGGGTCTCCTCAGTATTGGGTGTCTCAGTTTTTAACATGGCTCGTTGACGTGCAGTCATAAGCTTGGGATCCTTTGGTTTCATTTTCATAAGTTCATCATCGACCTAAAAGCAATTTTACAAACATATAGCAATCAGTAGTGGTGATCTACCATCTTTCTTGCAAATGGTCTTATTTCAGATCAGCTTTACAAACATGACAGAGGAAATCAAACATACCTCTTCTAGCTTTCCTGATTCAATCGCATCAAGCCATCGTTCTTCTTCACTTGAAGTTCCGCTATCCCGCCGAGACTTTTTGCTTTTCTTATTGGTTGGTATTGCTTTGTCACTAATACTTAACAGAGAATAAGAATTTTTAAAAAAAATGATCAACACTTGATTATTAATTAGATGCTTGACAAACTTTACCCTTTGATAGGAGCAGGAGCAATAACCAAAGGTGGAGGTTCTTCATAAGGAGGGGAGTCAACCTCTTCATGTTTTGACCTCTTGTGCTTTTTATGCTTATGTTTCTTGTGTTTCTTTCTGTGTGATGACTCAGACGTACCTGAGATGTAAAGATTTAATTATTATTCATTATCGTTCACACAGTCGCTGAAATAGAACATTTAATACATTTGTGCTAAACCTAGCTTAACCTTACCAACATCTATTTGCTCTTCCATTCGTATTTCTTTGCGTTTACCCATCTTTTGACGTTAAAATTCCTTGAAATCGGGGAAGATATTTCGTGTTATGCACATAGTGCGACTTGTCACTTTGCAAAGAAATACATCACATTATGTTGATTATGTTTGTGTTTACATGAACTTGAATTTAGTGCGAATAGTAACGCAAGTGTGAATAGTAGAAATTGGCGCGCTTCGGCCATCATTTCAAACCTGCTCAGAGCTGTTCCGAGGATGGTCCAAAATTGTAGGCACCACAGAATAAGTAAAGAAACACATGCTTTATATTTTATATTTATTTATTAATGTAACAATGAGTTTGAAACCATATCACAAGTTTGGCTGAGGAAGTAGATTTTTCTCCCACATTTACCCTGTCTTTATTTTGCAACCCCTACTTCCATTTTTGGCATTCAAATTTCTGTTGCTGGCACCCATGTTGGGAGCATTGCACTTATGGGCTCATAAGGGGGGAGAGCTTTGAATGTTATTTTTCGTAATGTGCAAATTCTCAACAGGAAGGCTCCTTGATAGCCAGCTGACCATGTGGCAGGGACCACTATGTAGTTTCCTGGCTCTAGTTCTGCACGATGGGCTATTTCTCTCTTGTTGACAAATGGACCAGTATCTACCTCTTCAGGAACGCATAGAAAATATTCAGCACTGAGTCGCTCTCCTGGTGTATCAGCCTGTTGTAAAAATAATTGAATAATAAACACAATTAAATAAAAATAATGTTGTTGAGCTTTCAATGCATAAACCCAGAGCTCTTATACCTTATAAATAAAGTACGCTATTGGTAACATTGGAGGTCTACATGCACGTGCGCTCCTTCTATGTTCCTGCATCAACGCTAGCAACAGAGAACAACGGCCAAAATCCTTATTTTCTTCATGCTCATCTGTGAAGTCGAGGTAATAGTTAAAAATATTTCAAGACTAAATGGATTCCATGTACACAGGGTGGTTGCTTTATTTTACCTGGTTGAGTGATTGTAAGAATGTATTGGGGATTGGTTGCAAATTTTTCCAAGTTATTCCTACTGCCTCCTGCGCTTATTCCTGCTTCCCACCAACCAAATATTTCTTCAACCTAGAAAATTTTAGATTGCATTTTAAATTAAGTTATGAATGAAGTTAAGACTGAATCATCAAAATGGGTTGTTCACACCCAACCTGTAGGTGGTCTGATCCCGTATCCAATGTGGTGACAATGATATTCGTATAAGCTGCTGCGAAGCCCTCTAGGTCCATCCAATGATTTGAAACACTGTTCCGAATAAAGCAAATTTTAGTCCACAATCACACCAACCACTCAACATTACAGCCTTCTCAAATTATGGCTTTTATTCGCTTACCTTCTCATGTTATCATGAACACAAATCTGAGGACCTCTGATTGTCAACTTTGTATCCACTACTATGCTAATATGTACTTCGTGATTCTGAAACAGTGCAATGAAATCGCATTTCACAGAATAGCAATCACAATAAACTTCTTTTAAGTCAAAAGAAAAGAACGGAACTTACGTGAATTTGAACTGGCACCGGTGTACAAGAGATGAGGGCACCGATTCGGAGCGCTTGAACAATCGGGCGATACAGTAGGAGGTACAGAGACTCGCGCGCCCTCGCGGGGTGGCCCTGCTGGCCCTGCTGGCCCTGCTGGCCCTGTTGGCCCTGGTTGCCGGCCTTGGTGGCCGCCGTGTCGGCAGACGCCGCGTCACACACGCCTTCCCCGCCGCCGACGAGCAGCCGCTGGGAGACGCCCCCGGTGAGGTCCTCGAGGCCCCAAAGCACGTCCCCGCCGGACAGCCCGGAGTAGCCACCGTGGATCCTGCAACGCACCGCCGTCCTCAGAAACACACTCAGCTCAGAGCGGGACGACGCGCGCCCTCTCTGGTCCAGTCCGTACTTGGCGAAGGCCTTCTCCAAGAGGGCGGGCCACACTTCGCCGGGCGCGTCCGAGGAGATGCAGTAGGGCGTGGGCAGCCTGTCGTCCACCAGCACCGTCTCCCAGCGCCCGAACCGCCACAGCCGCACGCGGACGGCGCCCTGCACCCCCGGCACCTCCGCGCCGAACACCTGGGGCAGAAGGAGCAGTGAGGACCAGGCTCGGGGCTTTCGAGCTGCTAGGCTAGCTGGCGCACGGCGACCTTGTCCAGCAACTGGGGCTTCTGGGAGACGATGGCGATGGCCTCCGCCAGCCAGCGGTCGTGAAAGGCGCCGACGCGCAGGCGCCCTCGGCACTCCCCCGTCCAGAGCGGCCCGCTGCCCGCACCACCCGCACCCAGCTCCTGCACAGTCCAGACTCGGTGACAGCTTCCTGCTGGCGGCGCACAGTGGGCCAGAGGACCGGAGGAGGCGGCCAAAATTCTAGACGCGTTTTGAACTCCAGAGTCGCTAAGTGGGACTCTAATCGAACATGTGACCCCACCAATGGATTCCTCGTTTGGAGAGCAATCCATTGGTGGGGTCACACGACTCTGGAGCTCGAAACGCGTCCGGGCTTCCGACCCCTGAGCGGAGGCGGGCGTGCGTACCGTCGGTCGGAGCCAGCGCGTCCCGGGCGGCGACCCGACCTCCTCGCCGTCCGCGGGGAAGTCCGCGTCGCAGAACGGCGCCCCCGGCGGCCAGGACGAGGGCGAGAGGTCCTGCGAAGAAGCCCCTTCTGGTTGTCACTCCTCGACCACCTCGAAGCGTCGCGCTGACGCTGCCAGTCGCAGGGAATGACCGGGCGATACTCTGCGCCCGAGCGACTTCGAAGGCTGGAGTATCGCCGGGTCATTCCCCTTGCGACCGTAGGCCCGACTCCGACAGTGCAGCGCCCCAGAGTGCTGAGCGCTACTCACCCGCAGCCCCAACTGGCCGTCCACGAACGGGGCTTCAGGCTCGCTGCTGTATGGCGGGTCCAGCAGCACCGTGTCCACCTGGTCAATCTGCAACAGGCGAGGAAGTTGGTCCGGGAGCTCCTGTCCTCACTGTGCTTCTTCGCTCTCTCTCTCACCCCTACGACACCCCATGAGTGCGAGAGAGACAGAGCGACGGGGGCACCGTTCGGAATCTTTGTGCTGGTTGTTCGTCTGGACAATATTTCGTAGAAATTGGCACAGCCCTCTACCCCTTCCTGGCGTGCGCGGCGGACTTGGCGTGCCCCGCTCTGATAAACTAAAGTGCAACGCGGAGGCCAGCCCCGCGGCCAGCCACTCATTACCACGCCGACAGCGCGCAGTAACTCAACGCGGGACTTGTCACATGTTGCATTCGGGGAAATTGCACTCTGCGCGCAGTGTGCAGGACACGCCGAGGGCTTTATTGAGCCGGGCTGCTCGGCGAGAACATTGAAAAACGCGAAATACACTCGAGAAAAAGGGCTCGGCTGTGCGGCCCCGGGCGGGATTCGAACCCGCGGCTGCGGCTCACCTGCAGGATGCGGGTCTCCAGGGAGTGCGGGCGCATGGACAGGCGGCGCGGCCCGCTGAGCAGGTGCAGCGGGCTGGCGGCGTCGTGCTCGCTGGAGCTGGTGCTGGAGGTCGGCGTCACCCCCAGGCCCTTGCCCAGGCCCTTGCCCAGGCTGCTGGACAGCTTGACGGCCGAGTACGAGCTGGAGGCGCACCCCATACCTGCAGAAGCACGTCCTCGTCAAGGCTTTGGAGAGCGGGGCGAGATGGGAACCCTTTCCCGCACCGTCCGGGCCCGCCGACCAAGTCTTTCGTCTCCTCCTTTTGCCCACTTCCCTTGACTTCTTTGCGCGGCGACTTATCGCAAGACATTAACATTGCAGCCCGGGGGGCGGGGCGGGGCGGGGCAGCGCGGGGTGCTAGCTGGGGGTCTAGTCGGCGCCCTGCCCGGCTGGGGCCTGGTTGGGGTGGAGGCGAGGCGGGGCGGGGCGGGGCGGGGGCGGGATGTGGGTCCGGCACGCTAGCCGCCGATCAGCCTTCGCCTTCGGCTTCGACTTTGGCGCCACGGCCGGCCGATGCATCGCCCTCCACAGACCCACAGGGTGACGTGTCGAAGTGGCCGCCTTTATTTTTACTTTGGATTTCGATCTCAGTAGGCTGTCTCTGTCACACTCACGGAGCGCTTCGCAGGGTGCGAGGGAGACAGTCCGGGCGCCGCTGTGAATTATTGAAGCCGAAGGCCGCAGCGCGGGCCTGGCCCCTGGCCGTCCACCGCGAACTTGCATCGACGAGACTGCAGGCCGACTCCGTCCGTCCCTCTCGAACTCAAGGGGCGTCCCGTGCAGGCGCGAGAGAGACAGGGCGACGGAAACGACTCTCGGAGTCAGAGTGGTGTATCGGCCTCCTTGGCCCAGCCCCAGGCCCAGCCCCAGGCCCAGCCCCAGGGCCCCGGGGCTCGGGTCGGGCCGGCTTGGCGGCTTGGCGGGCTTGGCCTGGCCCATTGCGACTTACACCAAGTTTTCGTGTGCTGTTCGCCCTTCGAGCAATCGATGGCGGCGTGGCGGAGGGACGCGGCCTGGCGAGGCACGGCGCGGCGCGGCACGGCGGCGCGCTCAAGGGAAAAAAGGAAATATCCTCCCCACTTACAGCTCTAAAGTTGAGGCGTTTGTGTCTCGCAAACGGCGAGCGGGTAACCAACATTACGCGAAAAGCGGTCTAAAAGAGGCAATTCGATCTCACTTCGCGTCGCCCGAAAATGGAACAGTGTAACGAGTGCGCCCCTGAAGCTGCGAGCGATTTGCCCAGTGGTCAAGCCGTGGGCAACCCGTGGGCGCGCCCTGCGACCCTTGACCTTCCAGTGAGTTGGAGCGAGAGGCAAGGCGAGGCGTTGTTCCGATCTAATGTCTTGCATGCAGCGGGCGTGTGCTTTATGCATGACGGGCAGGGATTGGGGGCGGGGCGGGGGCCGCATCCCTTGCGTGACCAAGTGGGTGGAGGACTCGGTGGAGGATCTATGGGGGCGGGAAAACCACGCTGATAGAGCGCCGGGGCCGCGCAGCGCAGCGCAGGCCGGGCGGGCTAGGGAGCACCGCCGAGAGGGCCACCATCTTCCCCGAACTCCCCGACCGGAAAGTACACTGCAATTGATGCCAACCTAACGACTGCCGGACTCGAAATCGTGGTTTGGCCTGACTTTAGGCAGCCACTGCGTCTAATCTAAGGTGCCTAATCGTTCTCCCTCAACGGGTGGGTACTCTTTGGGCCTTCCTTTACAACACCTTTGTTACGGAGTGCGATTGGCCGCCCTAGTTTGGGAGCAGTATTGCAGCAAAGTTTGTCAAAACGGTAATAAATGTGTAGAAGTCGTGGTTTGGGCTGACTTTAGGCAGCCACTGCGTCTGATCTAAGGTGCCCAATCGTTCTCCCTCAACGGGTGGGTACTCTTTGGGCCTTCCTTTACAACACCTTTGTTACGGAGTGCGATTGGCCGCCTTAGTTTGGGAGCAGTATTGCAGCAAAGTTTGTCGAAACGGTAACAAATGTGTAGAAATCGTGGTTTGGCCTGACTTTAGGCAGCCACTGCGTCTGATCTAAGGTGCCCAATCGTTCTCCCTCAACGGGTGGGTACTCTTGGGGCCTTCCTTTAGAACACCTTTGTTACGGAGTGCGATTGGCCGCCCTAGTTTGGGAGCAGTATTGCAGCAAAGTTTGTCAAAACGGTAATAAATGTGTAGAAGTCGTGGTTTGGGCTGACTTTAGGCAGCCACTGCGTCTGATCTAAGGTGCCCAATCGTTCTCCCTCAACGGGTGGGTACTCTTGGGGCCTTCTTTACAACACCTTTGTTACGGAGTGCGATTGCCGCCTAGTTTGGGAGCAGTATTGCAGCAAAGTTTGTCAAAACGGTAACAAATTGTGTCGGGTTGGGCCGGCAGCCACCGCGCTAAGGTCCCAATCGTTCTCCCTCACGGGTGGTACTCTTGGCTCCTTAGAACACCTTTGTTACGGAGTGCGATTGGCCGCCCTAGTTTGGGAGCAGTATTGCAGCAAAGTTTGTCAAAACGGTAATAAATGTGTAGAAGTCGTGGTTTGGGCTGACTTTAGGCAGCCACTGCGTCTGATCTAAGGTGCCCAATCGTTCTCTCTCAACGGGTGGGTACTCTTGGGGCCTTCCTTTAGAACACCTTTGTTACGGAGTGCGATTGGCCGCCCTAGTTTGGGAGCAGTATTGCAGCAAAGTTTGTCAAAACGGTAATAAATGTGTAGAAGTCGTGGTTTGGGCTGACTTTAGGCAGCCACTGCGTCTGATCTAAGGTGCCCAATCGTTCTCCCTCAACGGGTGGGTACTCTTGGGGCCTTCCTTTACAACACCTTTGTTACGGAGTGCGATTGGCCGCCTTAGTTTGGGAGCAGTATTGCAGCAAAGTTTGTCGAAACGGTAATAAATGTGTAGAAGTCGTGGTTTGGGCTGACTTTAGGCAGCCACTGCGTCTGATCTAAGGCGCCTAATCGTTCTCCCTCAACGGGTGGGTACTCTTTGGGCCTTCCTTTACAACACCTTTGTTACGGAGTGCGATTAGCCGCCTTAGTTTGGGAGCAGTATTGCAGCAAAGTTTGTCGAAACGGTAACAAATGTGCTCGGGGAGGCCCAGCTGACCGCGGTTCCGCGGCTCCGCGGCCACGCGCTGCTCGTGCTGCTTGCACTGCTTGGCGTCGCCGTGACGGAGTGACGGAGTAACGAACCTGCTGCTGCCGGCCGCACCGCCGCACGCATCGACCGCGACCGCCTGGCCGAGGGCGAGGGCTTGGCCGAGGGCTGGCCGACGGCGTGGCCGCGCGCGCCGGACGGCCCTTGAGACGGTCTGGGCCGGCCTGCCTGGCCCGGGCGAGCCGCGAGCCACGCTTCGCCGCGCGTCCGTACCGCCGCCCGCACCAGGGGGCTGTAGGGCTGCTCGGTCGACGCGTTCCGCCCCGGAGCTGGAGGGCTGGACTGACGGACTGGCCACGGGCCGAGCGGCACAATGGGCCCCACCGCGCTGCCCCCACCAGGGCCCACCAGGGCCCACCACCGCCAAGCCGCCGGGGTGGTTCACGCTTCGAGCACCACACTCCACCCCTTACGCTTCCTTTCCTTTTTCCGCCCCTCCTCCGCCCCCTCCTGTTCGGCCTTCTTAAACGCAGCCCTCTACAAGTGCCCGAGGGGAGGGGGGGGGGCCTCCCCTGTCTTGCGTGCCAGTCCACGCAACACTCTCGCCACCGACCCCATTACTTCGACACCACGCCGCACGACAACGCTCTCCCCGACTTCCACCCACCTCTTCCCTTTGAGGGCACATCTCAGAATAGTGTAAAGGAGCCTCTTCTCTCTCTCTCTCTCTCTCTCTCTCTCTCTCTCTCTCTCTCTCTCTCTCTCTCTCTCTCTCTCTCTCTCTCTCTCTCTCTCACACAACTTCCGCGTGGTGCTTCCGGCCATTCGGCTTTCCTCCTCGTAGAGGGTCGGGTCGGGCTGGCACGCAGCAGGGGAGGGAACGCCGCGAACGCCAGGGGTGGCAAATTCAGAACAAGGCCTGCCACCTGCCACCGCCATTTCTTTCATTTTTTTCTCCGTTACAAATTTGATTCATATCAGCCTCACCCAACAGTCTTGTTTATTGTTTTTTTTTCGAGCGGGGCGCCGAGAGGTAGGCAACCCGCTCGGCAGCGGCGCTCGACGGGCCTGCCGCGTGCGTCTGGCAGGCGCTCTCGGCCTCCGCCGGCGAGAGCGAGAGCTCGAAGCGTGATGCGCGTGTTTTCACAGGAAAGCACCGATTCCGAAACGCTGACAAGGAAACCCAGCGGTATACGAACACGGGGAAGTCCCTCGCAGTGCCGGCAGCGCACGCCGCAGTGAGTGGCGAACAGAGAAGCCAGACTGAGAGTCGTTCCCGGAGGGACGAAAGAATGCGTCTTTCTTTTCACCGGGAGGAAAGGACCTTGGTGCTGTTTTCCAGGAGGAGACGCAACGCGCCGCGAAGCACCGCGAAGTAGCTTCGTCACCCTCGCCCTGAGTGTGAGTGTGTGTGTGTGTGTGTGTGTGTGAGTGTGCTCATCTGTGTGCCTGAATCGGTGTCCCTGGGTCATGGGCTGCGCGGGTGCGGGGTCAGCTCGGAAGCGCATCACAGCTTCGCCATGGCTTTGCCTCGCTGGTCCAGGATCGAACCACTGCGTCTGTGTGTGTGTGTTTGTCTGCATGTGTGCGCGCGCGCGTGTGTGCGTGTGTCTGTGTGTGCTGACATCACCTCTGGCCATGTCCGACAGGCTAACTAGAAAGAGCTCCTAGCCGACAGAGACCCTCCAAAGCCTGACGCGGCCTGACGTCAGGACGGCGTTGACGGCACAGTTTACACACTGCATCCTCGCGCGTCCTCGCTCGACGCCTTTTCATCCCCAGCCTTACCTGGCAGTGTGTCACGGCGCGGTGTGGCCGGCCAAGACGGTGGCGGACACTGGGGTCGATTCAGATTTTTATCGAGCGTGTTTTGGCTCGGTGCGCAGCGACGTGATGACACCCTCACTCACACACTCACCTTCACACTCACACGCTGTGTGCCTCAACCTCTCACGCAAGCAGGTGAGGTCACCGTAACCAAGGGGATAAGGTCGCGCGTCGCGAGGTGTCGCCCGGCCCGAGCGGGCCCCAGTTACCCTAGGGACCAGCACGCACGGTCCAAGGGGTGCGAGAG